GGAAGCAAAGCACATACATTATGGCCTGTGGAAAATAAATTAACAGATAAAAAGCCATTAAATCAGAGTGTAAACAAAAAACTGCTAGTATGCCAGCTTTCCTAAAGACCCAAACCAAGCTCAAGAAGTTGACAAACAAATATGTAACCACATTGACTAAATTTAAAGAAATACTTGTACGCGACATTAAGACACTGGACAAATGATTATAAATCGTGTTTAGAAGCCTAGTTAAGCTAGTTTGCTAAGCCTATGAAACTTGTTTGTGCTAGGTTTAGCACGATACTTAGTTTCGTGACTTTCCACAGTGCAAAATTGTGAACTCTTATAGAGTTAATATGTTCATAAGTTATACTTAGTTTCGTACCTTTCCACAGTGCAAAATTGTGAACTCTTACAGAGTTAATATGTTCATAAGTTTTCCATTATACCCTAGTTGATATACTATCCCTTGTTTGAGCATGTTGAGCATGATGTATGTATATAAATGTATGATTTAGAATTTGGGAACCCATATATGCTCATTTATGCTATTGGATAATGCTATGTGCTTTAGGATACGTGCATCTAGCAAAACAAGTCCAAACATTGCATACCTGGCAACCAGAATAAAATACTTTATGAGCCTTTGGGTTTAGGTCAACATGCTGCGATTTGCCATACTCTAAACACCAATCCACCAGTCTGAAAAAATTAGAGGCAAAATTAGACTTAAAGCCACAATAATTTACCCTCCACACTTTAATTTTATCAGTTTCATGTTTTTCATCACAGAAACATAGTTAATATTGACAAGTGAACCTTTTCAATATAGTGGTAACCAAAGAGGTTGACAGAAATTTCCCACGAGACAAATAGCTCGCAAGATATGAAACAGCACTCATCCTGCACAATACCACAAAAATATATTCCTTGATTTCATTCATATAAAAAATGAAAATGTGTACAAGACAGGGCAAAATTAACTACGTCGGCACCAGTATCAGATCTTTTCCGAATCTCACAAACGCTAGAGAATATAGCTTTCACAAGATTTTTTAATACCTGGTAAGTGGAGGATCATTGCATGAAATAAACATATCTGCTAGGGTAACGGCAAATCTTGCACCACAAACTTCCGGATCTAATGCACAAGCATAGAATATGACAAACTGCCAAGAAAAAACATCAAAAGTGTGATTCAGTTTCCACCTTTTTTAAAAAATATATAAAATGAAGGCTCACTGGGCCAGAGTAAATAAGCAACGGCACAGAATAAGGGGCAAGGGCATGTAATTACCTGGGCGAATTTAGACTTGTAAGCAGTCAGAACAGTTCTTTGAAAAGATAGGAGTAAAATTTCAAAAACCTAACCACCACATTAAAGAAACATGGAAAAATTACTCATTTGCAATATAAATAAAAAAATTGAGAACAAATAAAAAGGAAAATGAAATAAACTACACAGAACGTACCTCATTCAATCGTCCATCACGTTCACATGATTCAAGATGTTCAAATGTTAGAACGATCAAACTATCTAAAGTTTCAGCAATCACATTTCCAGTTAAGCTCTTACGACTTAGTTCGCTAGGAAGCTGGCAAAATAAGCTCAAATTCAGCCCAGCAAATAACAACATGAATAAAAGAAATATAATCAAAACATATAGCAGAAGGAAAACATGTAAGTAATTTTTCAACCAAAATGGAATAATGTTTGAAAAAAACATGACTTTGATAAAATATTTAAGTATTGCAGACCCCAACGATATTTAGCTTTTACTTCAGATCCGTTAATACATATACTAGAAGATTAGAATTTGTATGTAAAGAGAATAATGAAACAAATGCCAACCACAACAAACAAATGAGACAAAACAATGAAGAAGGGAAGCTAAAAAAGGGATCGAGTGCCATTACAACTTAGTTGAAGAAATATATTTCTTTATCCAGCCTAGACGTTGTATCTTACCTCAATAGAATCCTCATTAATATCATCGGTAATTTCATCATCATCTTCAAGTTCAATCTCAAAGATTCCTTTACTGAAATCATCTTGTAAGATATCATCCCACCCAATCTCCACCTGCCAGAGGGTTAAAATTCATTATAATTCTTCAGTGATCACATAAACAAATGTGAATTCAAACAACTTATTCACTGAAATATTTGTTTAGACTTACATCCAAATCTAAAAGCTTATCTACCAGCGCTGTTAAGATCTTTCTCCCAACAAATTCGCTCAATGAACCTTTCTCCAACCTCAACATGTTCTCCACATATACTGAGGTCAACTACATTAAGGTTAAACAGATGTAAGTGGAGGACAACCACAAAACAAATTTCTAACTAAGGGTGCAAATGTTTTGAAGGTGAAATAAAAAGTAAGTTTTTAGAAAATATTCCAGAAAGAAATCGAAGCAATCTCTATCTTAAGCAAGCAAGAAGCATCTGACGAGAGCCTTTGAATATGTAACCATCTTTATGATATCTGACTTTTTTATGGTTTATGCCATCCAGTTCATATTTACACATTGATTCGTAAAAATAGGAAGAGGATTTTGTAGGTTCAAAGATTGAATAAATTTAGCATTTAGTAAATATATTTCAACTACAAATCATACAGGTATTGTTCCAGTTCAAACTGTATATTTTGAAGGGTCCTTTAAAGAAATAAATCTAGGAATAAAAAATTTCAGTCTGCCAAAGCATAGAAACAAAAAAAGGGCATTCAGCTTCACACAAAATTTCCAAGTCATTCGATGGTCATGAAAAAGTCAAATTTGGGTAGAAAAAATAACTATAATTAGCAATACTTTCTTTACAAAACATGCAATCATAAAACTAATTATTCATAGATTTTTCAAAAAATATTTAGTATCTATTGTACTATTATTATTTAACCAATTTCAATAAAAATTGAACATTGAATGACTGATTTTAAGATTTTTTCTTTTTGAAAACATAGGAGCTAAAATTTGACATTTGTAAATACAAGGACTAAAATTGAAGGAAACCAAAGTACGAAAACCAAAATGATAATTTAAACTGAAGATAACTAGTTAGAAATAAGCACAATTTTCATTTAGATTCCTCTTGGGCAACTTTAAGCTATAAATTCAACTCACAGATTCTTTGAAAAAGACTCTCTGCATTTTATTGACAACTATTTGCTCTAATCTCAAAGGTGCAAGAGGCACCAAGTCCGAGATGTCTTTTAAAGCTGTGTGCACTCGAGAAAAAACTTCATCCTTTCTGATAAGACCATGTGGTTTCTTCAGTAAATCCTTGTAGTAATGGGGCGGCATGAAATTATTAACAAGCATATCCAAGCATGAATCCACATATTTTCCACTTGAAACGGCCTGAAACATTAAATATACAAAAAGTCAGGAGATCATGGAACTATTAAGGGAACCTCAAGAAAGAGTGTGAGAGTTATAGTATCATAAATGCTTGTACCAGGGATGTTATAAGTTCAACCAGGGCATCCATCACGTTAGGTCCATAATCCCATAAGCTCATTTTAAAAATCTGAAACAGAACTTCCATTACAACAACAAAAGTGCAGGATACAGACACGGAGTTTAGTGATAAACTTACTCCTGCAAGCAGAGATTCATGGAGAGCGTTGTCTATAAAAGAAACTGCTCCACATAGTGCCTTCAAACATGTCTGTTAGTGCATCAGGTGAATTAAAAGCTAGTTAGTATGGAATTAAATCTCGCATCATTGGTCAAAAACAGCTGTGATCAGGTGAATTAAGAGCTAGTAAGTTCATACCACGAGCAAGGCAACCTCATCAGGGGATAGTCGTTCCCTATGGTGTATAACACCAACAAGCTGGTTATACCCATCAGTATTTCCCTATACCAATTGAAAAGCTACTGTAAGTAATTCATAAATTGATTAGCAGCGAGAACTTGGAAGCATATCGTGCAACTCAAAGATTTAAAAACCATTCTTTTTAGTAAAGAAAAAATAACAGTGTTAATGGAACAATACCAGTGACACTGAACTAAGAAACCCCCTGATGAAATCAACTAACTGAGAATCTGTGAAGTTAACGCCCTCCATATCCTGGAACTGAGCTTGGCCATTTTCCAATTCCATCCCCATGATTATTACCCAAACCCTACTGAGATCCTACTGCCACAGTGGGGCCTGGGAATAGGGCGAGGTTCAAGCCTGAAACAAAAGAACAACTGAATAAAAGATTCAAACAAAAATAATTGGAGAAACAAAAACGTAAAGAACAAACAAGTTTGGTATGAAGGTAAATAAATATACCCCGCTAATTAGAACAATCAAACGAAACCGAAATACTTGTTTCGACTAGCGTGCCGCCGTGTGGTTGCAGCAGAGAGAGAAAGATAGAGAGAGAGAAGAAAGAAAAGTGGGCGTCGGCGGCGGCGGCGACGGAAACTGCAACGTCGACGTCTGTGGAACTAGGCAGCTAAAGTCCGGCAGGTGGAGGGCGTCGGCGGCTGTTATGGAAAGCGAGGGAGTCTGGAAGTCTGAAAGCCAACCCTAAACCTAAACTGAGAAGAACCAGAAGCTCTAAAAAGAAAATTATAAATTATTAAAATAAAAATTAAATAATAAAAAATAGCGGTCACGTGCGTTAGCACGAGCCGAAACTGGGACGGAAACAGGAAAAACCTTTAAAATAATAATAATAACTATAATAAAAGTAGAGCGGTTTGGTTCTTTGTTCATTTCCGGTTAATTCTTTCCGAGCCGAGCCGGCCCAACCCGACCCAATTAACTCTCTTTTAATCTATTTTTTTAAAATACAAATTTGATGTTATTATTGTTTTTTTTTTTAATTTTTTAATAAAATTTAAAAATATTAATGAATATTTTAAAAACAAATTACTAATTTCTATTAAAAATAAAAAAAATTAAAAAATTGCGATAAAATAAAATTAAAAAAAAAAGTATTTTTGAGATAAATAAAAGTAATTTTATTAATTTAAGGAAAAGAAAAAAGAAAAACAATAATAAACGTGGACGTCACACGGAGCATCCATTACAAGTCTATCCAGACCATACGCACAGAGGTAGAGTTCGAAGAGAAAGCAGCGCGGAAGTGGAACCAATCGTCTTGGGCTATGGCGACACTCCTCCAGTTTCCATCCAACATACTCTTCTTCCATGTATGCTCCATTTTCAATCTCTTAGCTTCATATTTATCGACAATGTTCATGATTCTTCGTGTTTTCTAATCTCTACTAGTGGCGATGTCCTTTGAATTGTCTTGATTAGCGCTTATGATGTAATTGATGTATTCTCGGCTGGATTTCAATGCACACGATTATCGAATTGGACATTGAATCATTAGTAGAAATCAAGAAAATGGTCTTTGTATGGACAACATTCTCCGTTCAGAGATTTGTTCTGTAAATACAGACTTTTGGATGCAAGAATTGCAAAATCGACTTGAACATGTATCCTATAAAATCCATTGCAGCATCTTTTCACTGATGTAGTGTAATATAAAAATCGTGGTGGAAGGCAAAGAAATCCCCTCTAATTTTCACTACATTGTTAAAACTTGTTGGCCCAATGTATGATATAACATGTTTAACATTTTTATGTGAAGTTCATGGCTGAAGTTGGTGAATTGAGTTAAATTCTTTTATTATGCTATAGTCAACCGAAAGTCCTAAGTCATGTTTTGTGAGATCCCACATCGGTTGGAGAGGAAAACGAAACATTTTTTATAAGGGTGTGGAAACCTCTGCTTAGCAAATGCGTTTCAAACCTTAAGGGGAAGCCCGAATGGGAAAGCCCAAAAAGGATAATATCTGCTAGCGGTGGGCTTAGATTGTTACATGTTTGTTGTGTAGTATACCTCTTCGTTCGAATTCATTATTGAGTTTTCTAGCAATTTTCTTTGTCTTTTTATCCCCTATGTTCATAACCTCTTCATCCCCAACCCATTCCCTTCCTCCCCAACTAACTTTTGTTATTTATAATGTGTAGACTCTCCAAACCCAAAGGGAAGGTACTTGGAAACATCTTGTGAGGCAAGCATGCTTTTATTTAATTGGGGGTTTTTCTTGTATTTTTCCCGAATGTTTTAAATTTAACTATATGAAGTATCAAATGAGTGATTAATAATGTTTTATTGTGTACTGTGATGAATAGATATTGTTCAATCCAGACAAAGTTGGCCTGTAGATGCGAAAGGAGGACGGCTGATTTCTTTTTATTGCTCCTCAATGAATTTTCAGGCACCATATAAATTTTCAAACGGTTCCTCGTCAAAACAAAAGCTTCCTACAAGGTTTTTGAGGGATAAGAAGTTGATTTTTGATGCAGATCCCCCTGCCCAAAAGGACATTGATCATTCATACCATATTTTGGAACAAAGGTTCAATTACATACTTCCTATGGACATTTCATTAAATTTTCCATTTTTAAGAGATCATTTTTGCTTCAATATGAAGTTATCTGTTTTATTAATTTTTCGGTCCATGCTGGATAGGTAGAACATGATATGAACTGCATATAGACTTCAAATTATGATTCTTTTTCTTTTTTATTTATTTAGGATTTGATGTCGTCTTTAATGTTTTTCAATTATCCTTTTAGGACATATTAAGCAAGAGTATTTTTGTCATTTTTCCATGATCAATAATATGTCATTTTGGTTCGTTGGAAGGTCATCTAGAGCCTGACCGTTTGATTTTTCGAACAGTTGACCATGAATAAATTTTAGCTGATATTTTTTTTGTCAAGTTTAGCTAAGAGTTTCTTGATCCTTTTGCAATTCATGACTTGAGTTACTTGCAAAAAAAATATTCAAATAAGATTGATCATCCTATCGTGGACCAAAGAACTTGAGGCAATCCGTGTTTAACCTAAAGTTTAGAGTTTAAATTGATAGATTTGAGGGTTTTGTGTTTGTGAACTCGGGGTTCACATACACAAGGGGTTAACTTGAAACTTCCATATATGGCTATGGTGAAGAAAAGAAAAATCTTTGTACATGGTATGTTACAGTTCAAAGATTCCATTGGGTATGCTGCAGCTATAGTTTTCTAGTGGATTGTTGGTCTCGGCAACAGTTTTGTTGTCTTTCCATTATGTTTTTATTTATTTATAATGAGTGAATTCTCCTTTATTCTTCCCACTGTGTGAAACTAGCTGTTCTTTTATCTTTTTGTTTTCGCATATCGATGTTTTCATCATTCAAACTCTTTTTGTTCAATAAAAATCTAGCCCACGTTTTCTGTTTAAGAAAAAATCACATTCTCTTCACCATGAATCTAATTCTCAATTTTGCAGCACAGTGCTCATGTGACCCAAAAACACATACTAGGAAGCAGCCACTCGTGCACAAGTCCTCTCCTTTACCCAAGCAGGAGAGCTCTGAATGTTTCTGTTATCTCATTGTTCTTGTATGGATTTTCACCAAGCATTTGTGAGGCCGTTTTTGCTGAAGAGTTGGAGCTTGAGAGATACACAGATTCAAAGGAGGGTTTTACTCTTCTTCGACCATCTTCTTGGGTTAAGGTATTTGGCCATCTCTCTCTGAACTAACGGTGATGCATTCTTAGGCTCTTCCTTTGAGTAGACTTTGTCTGAAACTGTGTGCTTGGTAAAGGTTGATAAAGCAGGGGCAACAGTTTTATTTGAAGAGGAGAATAAAGGAAGCAACAATGTTGGTGTTGTAGTAAATCCGGTTCGTCTTACAAGTCTTGGGGAGTTTGGAACTCCTCAGTTCGTGGCTGACAAACTTATACAGGCTGAAAAGCGAAAGGTAATTTATTTTTTGAGATTTTGGCATTTCCTACTGATTGGAACATAGACTTGCTTGGCTGTGATTTTTGTTGGATGCTTTTAAGTGCTAGGAAAAATAATATATTTGAGTGTTTTCTTTTTTCTTTGGGATAATATAACATTCGAGTTTAACTAGTATGACAGTCTTTTTGATTCGTGATCTTTTTTCTGTTGGATTGTATGTTTTGCCCCGTAAGAATGTACTCTGTCGCACTGCTGCTTCAGATACTAAATTTGTAATCTATGTGTAACGGCCCAAACCCACCGCTAGCAGATATTATCCTTTTTGGGTTTTCCCTTTCAGCCTTTCCCTCAAAGTCTTTAAAATATGTCTGCTAGGAAGAGATTTCTACACCCTTATAAAAAATGTTTCATTCTCCTCTCCAACCGATGTGGGATCTCACAATACACCCCCCTTCGGAGCCCAGCTTCCTCGCTGACACTCGTTCCCTTCTCCAATCGATGTGGGACTCCCAATCCACCCTCCTTCGAGGCCCAACGTCCTTTCTAGCACACGGCCTCGTGTTTGCCCTTCTTTGGGGCTCAGTCTCCTCGTTGGCACATCGCTCAGTGTCTGACTCTGATACCATTTGTAATAGCCCAAGCCCACCGCTAGTAGATATTGTCCTACTTGGGCTTTCCCTCAAGGTTTTTAAAACGTGTCTGCTAGGAAGAGGTTTCCACACCCTTATGAAAAATGTTTCGTTCTCCTCCTCAACCGAGATGGGATATCACATACCGTTGGACTAGCCTTGTTGCATCCAAGTTATTAACTCTTCTATTTCTTGATTCATGTTCTTTTACCCCTAAAATGGAAGGAACACTATTGTTATCCAAATCCAACATTCTAAAATGGGATTAACCGACTCCATGTCTTAGTTACTTATTCTATGAATACAGGAAAGTACAAAGGATGCAGCAGTGGTTGGTGCTGCAGAGAGATCTGGTAAGGGAGGTCTACAAGTATACGAGTTCGAGTACATGGTCGACAGCACTAGAGGGGGGATGAAGCGGGTTTTCTCCGCTGCTTTTGTGGCTTCTAAGAAGCTTTACATCCTTAACGTATCCCACTCGGACAAACCAGAGAGCCCTCTTGATTCACAGAGAAGAAAGATGTTGGAGCAGGTTCTTCATTCCTTTGATGCAGCTCCTTCCTCCTGAAAGATCATCATCAGTTCATGCTCTCCCTCCAAACTAACTCATTTCCATTCTGTCTCTGCTTTGCTTTCCATGCCACCATGGGGCTTCCATTTTTCTCTCTAATTAATATATATAAAGTTTGTTTCTTCCTATTCTTTTCCCACCTTCTATAAGTTTCAGTTCTTCCTCATCGTTTACTTGTTGGGCCTTTTTATTTTATTTATTTATAATTATTGAAGAAATTTGAAATTAGAATTGACTTTTATGAAAGCTTCTAATTAAAAACTTTCATCTAATTGAGCAGTCGCAACAGAATATTTTTTTTGTGTGGTGGTAAAAAAAAAAAAAACATGCTTTTATTTGTTGTCCGGAAAGAGGACGACTAAAGATTTATTACGGGCGAGCCACGGCAATTGCACCAATCAAGAACAGAAGATGACGTGGTAGTCAATATAAGTTAATTAAACTTTGATGATATGTAATTTTTAAATGAGTCGATAATTTTAAATTTTTTAATCAATTAAATATTAATTTTAAGCTTTAGGGACTTGATTGTAAATCAAATTCTCTCGAGTGATGGAATAAAGCGCCAGAAGTGACGAGCATCGATGGTCGAAGCTTGGCTCTAGTTGATAGGCTAGCAGTAAGCTTGGCTAAAGCGAAGCACTTACCAAGCGCGAAGGAAAGGGCCTTCGCCACTTGAGCCATATGCGGAAAAGAAAAGAGGGCGGCCCCTCTTCTTCTCATCTATTTTGATCTCAAAGATCAAACCAAAAGTGTTATAGCAAGTTCAAACTCGAGACTAAAAATATATTTTCACGTGAAAAGTAAACTCTATGGATCTAATTGATATAATTAATTTTGTTTAATGAATATGAATATCAAATTTGTGAAATTAAATAATTAATTAAAGGTAAGAGAATAAACTAAAATTATTTCCATTTACTATTTTGGTACATTATTTAATTAATTAATTAAAATAAATAAATATTTTACATTAACAATGGAAATTAAATAACTTAATCTAATAAAAAATTATGTAAGTATTGATTCTTAAAAATATTAATAATAAATAATTTAAGCAATAATAAAACTAATTACAATTTATTAATTTTTAACAATATGCTAACATCAATAGTTAATTAAACTTAATTAATAAGATTTAATTAATTAATTAATTAGATTATATTTTTACCATTTTCTATTACATAAAATAATTTTAAAATTCTGATAATAATATTTTCGACTCTAAATTGGATGAACACAAATAAACAAAGATACTACAATCAAAATTTGGTTGTAAATTAGGTCAAATTACAAGTTCTGAAGTTCTTCCGGAAACAATTTGAAGTTCGAAAATTCAAATGAAATGATTAAAAATCCATGGAAAAAGTGATGTAGTTTATATAATTGATTGCATCCTAATTCCCAGGAGAAGCAGAACAACCGGTGGAAAGCTATGCAACGTGGAAGTATGGCGGATGCCGCAAACTTGATCGACTGGTACGTCAGCTGAATAATCTACCACAACTCACCTCTCGAATATCTTCTTGATTTCTCCCGAGAAAAGAAAATTTGAATTCTCAACGGTGCCAATGTTCGTCCGCTTGCTGTTCTATCAACCCTTCTGTGTATGTTCTATTCTCCCTCCATTTCATGCTGTTATTGTTCATTTTCGGATTCTTTTGGATTGAATTGTTTATTTTTCGTTGCGTTCCTCGTGAATCTTTGATGCGTTTATGCCTTTTATTTGTTCTTATCATCCAAAGACATAGGAGAGATTGTATCTTCTATTGTTTGTAGAATTGAAGAACAAGTGTAGAAGAAATGGATAGCATTCACTTGGAGGTAGGATAAATTGCTAGCGCTGTAGAAATAGGTTCTTAGTGCTGTAAACACTAAATTCAGTTAACATATTTGAAGAATTTGTGTTAGATTAGCATCTTGCTGAAGCTAAATTCCTTGTCTTTGGCTGGTGCCTCTTCTTGTTCTTACTAATGTTGTCAACTGTATAGGAGAGATTTTACTCGACACTGCTGAAGTTTCCTTATGCTTTGTTTTTTGATTGATTTTTTTTTTCCATTTTTTGAACTTGTAGTCTTCCTCAACCACAAGGAAGTTACTTGGAAACATCATGGGAGGCAAGCGAGCTTCTATTCCCTTAGAAATTTTTAATATCTAATAGTATCCAATAAATGACTTGATCATTTATTTTGTCCTAAACAATAATAGATATTGTTCAACCTAGAGGACAAAGTGGGCGATTTCTTAGGAAGGGAAGATGGTTGGCATCTCTTTATTACTTCTCGAGGAATTTCCAAACAACACGTAAATTTTCAGTTAGTTCCTCATCGATCAGTGTAGAAAAACCTCACCAAAACTTGCTGAGGGACAAGAAGCTCGTTCCTGATTCTGATCCTCCTAGCATGAAAGATGTTGATCTCTTATATAATTTTCTTGATCAAAGGTCAGTTTACATAACTTTATTGGTTTCTTAATATTTTCGAATGAACAACTATTCTTTTGTAACGTTACATCATTGACATCACATTTTCCTTTGATTTGTGCTATCATGCATCCTGCAGTTCCAACCTTGTAGTATTGACAGGAGCTGGAATTAGTACAGAATGTGGAATTCCTGATTACAGAAGGTTCTATCTTCCCTTCCTTTCTCATACCTATATTCCACCTTTATTTGTTCTTCATCTGTATTTGTTTTAACATTGAGATGATTACGAACATCAAACGTAGAGAGGTTAGATTTGTATACAAATTCTGCCAAGTTCACTTTGATTTAGAGAGTTAGCCGAACTCTCAAGTCTCATGTTTGTTCATACACAGTTTTGGTGCGTAGAACGAAAAATTTCATGCATGGTATATTACAGTCTAGAGATTGTATACTGTCCTACCCTATATGGTTTGAAGTTTTCCAATTGATCCAAGCAAACCTTTTTATGTTTTTAAATTTGATTACTATTTGTTTTCCCTCCATTCAGAACATCAATACCCACTTACTACTTATCCAATGAGAAAAGTCTCTCTAGTTTTGAGCACCCTTTATGACTCTAAATACTGGCGAGTAAGTTCAAGCGTACACGTGCATGCGTGTTCTGTTTTAGTCAAACTAAAATTTTGTATACATAGATTATCAATATCCAATATTATATTTGCTGTCTTCAAAACTTCTGTTAATTTAGTTCTGCCTTCTTAAACTAACCTTACCTTGATTTGAAGACCTCAGTTTGTTACTTTGTTGATGACACACTTTCTATTATTTGACTTAACACGTTTTGGTCATACTTTGATTATGTAACCTTTCATTTTCTTTAATACGCCCACACTTATCTTTCTTAATGCAAAAGTTTCTCTATGCGGCAGCCCGAATGGAGCTTATAGTTCTGGTTTCAAACCAATTACACATCAGGTGATCTGAAGGCATGTGTGGTACCTTCTTTCTGCACTGTTATGATGATATTGCTTGGACATTTTGAAACAAAAGTATTGATAATAGCACAGCACGTACTTTATCTGCATTTTTAAATAAAAGAATCAATGTTGCAATGGAAGCGATTGTTAATTTTGGAAGTAACCATACTGAATAGTGGGTATTTATAACCTTAGTTTATGTTTGATGCTGATAATATATATTTCTACTTAAAAAACTCAGCTGGTTTGCTATTCAATTCTTTACTTTCTTTATTATTATTTTTATAAGAACTGAGACTATTTTGAAGAAAGAAGCCATAAAAATGTGGGAGATGAAAAGAGGCTGTTCTGATATGTTCAATGTCATAACTATAAAAAAGTTTGGAAAGAGAACACTGAATGGAAGCAAAGAGATAATGAATTGAATCTCATAACTCCTCTAGGCTAGAATAACTCTCTTTGGAGTTTGGAGACTATCTGATTTCTCCCCAACTAAATCCTCCAAAACGTAGCCATAACATTTGCCCCTTAACTAACTTGCCTTTTGAATTGGGATCCATAAATTAGCTGAATGGTAGCCTCATCAATTCTATTCGAGCAACACCAACGGATGCCAAAGATCTCAAATAATCTAGCCCAAGTGTCCTGGGCAAGGGCACAGTGAAGAAAGAGATGTGCATCCTATTTCAACCCTTCCTTCCAAGTAACACACCAGCTGGGAGATAAGCAAAGGCGCAGATTATTGGTGTTCAACTTTCCTTGGATGCACACCCAAAGAAAAACTCTCACCTACTTAGGCACAGGCTTTCCTTTACTTTTTAAACAACCTTCCTAATCTCAAATGTGAACGACACTTCTGAATTTCTCGAAGGAGATTCTCTCCTCTTTCAATTGGTTGATGACCCTTCCAAGTGATCCTAATGTCTCCTTCGCTACACACTATCTGACCACCCTTTCTCAAAAGATAAAACAGTTCTCTGGATGCATTTGTTTGGCTTTTTTTTGGGCTTTATGATCGAGCAAAACGAAAGGATTTCCAATGATAAGGAAAGATCTTTTGATAATGTTTTTGAATATGTTAGCTTCTTAACATTATCTTGGTGTAAACATTTTTATCCTTTCAATTCTTATAGCTTTTATACACTTTTGTTCATTTGGGGATTTTAGTGCTAGTCCTTTGGCTTGTGAATCTCTCTTCTTTTGTATATTTCATAAATAATGAAATTTATTTCTCATAATTTATTTTTTTTAGGTTTTACTACGTGGTTGTGATTTTGAGAGTGTTTCTAAAATGAAAGTGTTCAAACAAAGAAATAAATTATGAACAGCCTAGTTTTTGAAACTTGAAAATGGAAACAAAAACTTTATTTGATGGGGCCTTAGTTTTTATAGAATTTAATTGATATACTCGGCACTTAGCAAGAAAAACTTGGCAAGTGCACTGTATATTAGCTTGAAAAGGATCCTTACCAACCTTGAATCACTCCAGAAAGCCGTGATCCAAACTTTTAGGTATGATTATTAGCTTGCTTAAAAATCAGCCACCACCTTGAAAAAGGAGAAAACTGAATAGGATTGCCTTCTGATGGCCTTCTAGTAGCTAGATACTTCTAGGCTTAACTTTAATCGTGCATTAATGATAAAATAGTCAAAGAAAGGCATCCCCGAAAGCAATTCCACCTATCTGTCTGGCCTTTCTTCTTTGCACCAGTCAGTTGAGATTCTAATC